TGGGACAACACTGTAGGTCAAAACTGAATTTCTTCGGATCGTACGCGTTCAAGCAGTGACCTCCTAGATGAAGGCAAGCGATTGGTGTTTGATTTGACAACGTGCCATGAACAAAACATTTTGAAAAATGGCGAATAAAAGATGACGAACGCTAACATCAGCATGTATAAGATCCACTGCTCACGTCATGGAAATGGTCTCTGCATCTCATTCGCCTCTCATAGGGGTAGGAGTTGTGTACATATTTTGTTCTCAGTGAGCTTTCAGCGAACATTGTACACTACCCCTCCCTCAGCACCCGGCGGCACATTTAAAGCGAAGAGCAGCGTGATGCAAGCCATTATGTCACGATGCTGTTCAGAGACAACGGTGATGTGACAGCTCACGAGCACGAAACGGATGTAAAGATGTTATCACACAGAAACGCTCTGAATGCCTAGGAGGCGGACATGTGCTGCTCGCGCGGACTTGGAGAGTAAACAACTTCAGCGTGTCGATAGCACTCTTCTACGCGGCGGGATATCTGCCCTGCTCGAGTCATTCGGCATCCGCGCCACCGCCTTAGTCACAGCCCGGTGCGGGCGGTGTTGGGTTCCGTGCCCCATGTGCACATCTCAGGCGACTCTGCACAGCACTCTCGCATGTCAGGCGGCCCGCCAGACGTCGCTGGAACACCGTGCTCCCCGGAGCAGTGCTCCAGCGACGTCTGACGTCTGGCGGTCCCGCTCAGCAGTCTGGAGTTGGCTCGGCGGCGACTGACCTCCGGCATGACCTTGCCATGTGAAGATCATGCGAAGTTGACATTCAGCGGCCATGGCGGGGTCGGAGGTGGACATTGCTTCGTGGAAGAATGTTTGCTTTTTGGGGAAAGCGCGGTGGCAGGCGCCTCAGCTATCATCAGCGAACTTCAGATAACTACTTGAACAGTGTTTTCACGGGCAGCCTGTGTTCCCTGCCCAGGACACACCCTTGCCCCGCGGAGAGCTCTTGCGTGACCTTTGACGACCGCCAGCCCTACCGCTGGCGTCACCTGCCGGGTGCGGTCCGCCGCTGGCGTCGCCTGTCGGGTGCGGTCCGCCGCTGGCGTCACCTGCCGGGTGCGGTCCGCCGCTGGTGTCACCTGCCGGGTGCGGTCCGCCGCTGGCGTCACCTGCCGGGTGCGGTTCGCCGCTGGCGTCACCTGCCGGGTGCGGTTCGCCGCTGGCGTCACCTGCCGGGTGCGGTCCGCCGCTGATGTCACCTGCCGGGTGCGGTCCGCCGCTGGCGTCACCTGCCGGGTGCGGTTCGCCGCTGGCGTCACCTGCCGGGTGCGGTTCGCCGCTGGCGTCACCTGCCGGGTGCGGTCCGCCGCTGATGTCACCTGCCGGGTGCGGTCCGCCGCTGGCGTCACCTGCCGGGTGCGGTCCGCCGCTGGCGTGGAGGCATTTATGAGGTATTCACCGACGCTTGCCAGCTGTTGTGGTTCTTAAAGAGAGTGTATGGGGTTTTTGTCCACATTTGTATGGGGTTTTGAACTGAAATAGCCATTTTGAAGACCATCTGGTGCAGTTCACAGTCTTGTCCTTCTTAAAACCCAAAACCCTCTAAATCCTGAGCTACGCGCCCGTCAAGATGTGCATACAGTCTCGTAGCGAATGTCCAAGGTTACCCGAGCATGCACGTAGCCATAATGAAGTCATTCAAATTTTGGCAATCCACTGGTTACCCGACGTTCAAGGTCAAGCAAACATAATTGTCAAGTTGCTCATATCTGGCATTCGTGCGCACAATTTCCATATATCGAGGCCGTCAACTGGCTGTCAACTAATGTTGCATATGCTACGCAAGGTGCTGAATTATGCGTTGGACTACATCATGCGGGAAGTTATACATTTACCTAGATATTACCGAAACGCGACTTGTCGTCGAATTAACTTTGGCCGTAACCGAGCATGTGAATGTAAGTAAACTTCTTAAACCCACGGATGGATATGCATGGAGAGGGCTAAAGCACGAGCACACAACGATATTCGGCTCCGCTAAAACTTCAACCACGTGCTGCCATCTCTCGGTAGGTTTGAAGTACTACCAAGTGAGTGCCAGGGTGACAGCGTATATTGAATCAGTGGTGTAGTTGAGCATGACCATCCGAGAATACACCACGGGCATGGTGAAACTATCTAAAACTACTGCATACCACGCTACGGATTGATCATGGACTGCGCACAGGCACGAAGTCACGTGCATGTCCGATTGGTAGGATGGATCTGTAAGACGATCGCCTGCTCTCAAACTGAGAAATAACCCGGCACAGGGGTGTAGTTGCGCAAAATCAGCTGGACGGAGTAGCTGATTAGCCAAACACGACTCAACCTACCACGAAAAAAGCACGAACAAACGGGTTCCTCTCTGCATTTCGCCCCGTCTCATGTCGAAGTTGTAGGGACCGGAAAGTAAGTTGGGTAAGAGAGGAGAATCGCTGAATGGAGTCTCGTTAAATAATGAGTTAAATAATAGATTTTAATAACATCGTTAAATAATCTTTTCTCGTTAATTTTGAGGATGTTCTCTGCAGATTTACAGTAACAGCAACACTAAAAGTTATAGATCATAGATGTTGACTCTTACCAGATTCCACCATAAATTCGCGGTGCTGTAAAGGCTGGTGCGTTCTTACTTTAGATCAAAATGTCGCACAGGTGAAGCTTATGACGCACTGACTATGTTCCAAACGTACAGATTGATGCTCTAGCGGGCTCAAAGATGCTTATTTTAGACGCATCATCATTTTTGCTGAGTGTTAGCCGCGGTGTCGGGGCGAGGCCGATGCCGCGCGGCCTGCAGAGACTGCAGCGCCGACTGTGGAGGTTTGTGCTGCTAAAAATTGCCAGCACGCATGCTCAAATCTTAAGTACATAACATCGTCATTTATCAATTTTGACTCAATGTTGAATAATTTTCATACAAACATGGCTTGGCCACGTACTGCAAAGCTTTTTCAACTTTCTTTTCACAGGCCTTTCGCCATCAGAGAGCATTTCGTTGACCATTTATCCCCATGCCCATCCCACCCCATCGTCAAAATTCTGGCTGCGTTCCTGCAGTGCACATCAAGCAGAACATTTATGCGAGATGAAACGGCACTTTGCCAACTGCCGCACAACTTCGAGAAAAGATAGGCCCAAATCCGGGTAGGAGCTCGGAGTTTGTAGCTTTTTGCGGGTAAGGCAGAGCCTTTTTTCGCTGTTCAGCCCCTTCTCTGAATTCATCTCGCGAAACTACGCCTCTGTGTTCGGCCGTCCTCCAGTCTGACAGACGGCGATGATTTTACGGATCTACACGACCAGTCGGACACGCTGGTGACTTTGTGCCGGCGTAGTCGGTAATCCACACGTAGTGTGACCTGCAATAGTTTTAGATTGGTCATGCTTCACTACACGAATGTTTTAATACATGCGGGAAGGCAATTTCTTGCGGCAAGTCTGGCGGCACCACAACACCCTACACATGTTCCATAAGGCGATAAAAAAACGACGCGTTGAGGGGCATATTTACTAAATAGATAAAGCGTGTCATATAGAGCAGTATTTTCTACTCAGAAGCATACCAATAGTCACAACTGAGCCTATTTCAGGACATCGGGAGCTTGCTTCAGTATTTTCAAATGTCGAGCACTACCTTTCAAGCAGCTCGAGCACGTGCTGCACTCGGACTCCAGCGTCGGAAGCTGGCAGTCGAGCGGCACTGCGACCGGTGGTCCGCTGTCTGCAGGCCTTTGGTGACGCGAGCCTCTGTCTGCAGGCCCTTAGTGGCGTGACCTTTGTCTGCAGGCCTTCGGTGGCACGAGCCTTTGTCTGCAGGTCCTTGGTGACGCGAGCCTCTGTCTGCAGGCCTTAAGTGGTGTGAGCCTTTGTCTGCAGGCCTTTTGTGGCGTGAGCTTTTGTCTGCAGGCCTTTGGAGGCACGAGTCTTTGTCTACAGGTCCATGGTGATGTGAGCTTTTGTCTGCAGGCCTTTATTGACATGAGGCTTTGTCTGTAGGCTTTTGGTGGCACGAGCCTTTGTCTTCAGGTCCTTCGCGATGCGAGCCTTTGTCTGCAGGCCTTTAGTAACGTGAGCCTTTGTCTGCAGGCCTTCAGTGACGCAAGCCTTTGTCTGCGGGCCCTTGGTGTTGCGAGACTTTGTCTACAGGCCTTTGGTGGCGCGAGCTTGCGTGAATCCCGTGCGATGGGATCATCGCAATCTGACATCCAACAAATAGTCTCGTTGTTCGAGATCCTGACTGTAACAGCAACGCACTTGTCTGTCCGAGTGGCGGTGGCACCGACTGCGACCTGGTCCAGCATTGGGACTGCCAGCGGTGGCGCGTGGTGTCCGGTCAGCAGGCTCGAGACCAGCGGATCGAATGTTTCCAAAAGCTGCGTGCTTGCTGCCTTCTTTTAATGAATTTACCGCATGCAGTTGGGGAAGAGGTTCGGTGCATGTGTATTCTGATATTGTGTCTGACATAAGCCTTCATATACATTGGCTTTTATTTAGATCAAGATGCTTCGACATGTCCCATCAACATGTCCCATATTACATTGGCTTTTATTTAGATCAAGATGCTTCGACATGGCCCATCAACATGGCCCATATTACACTGACTTTTGTTTAGATCAAGATGCTTCGACATGGCCCATCAACATTGAAGTAATGATGACAACATGATAAGGGGGGCATAGCTAACTACCACAAGTTTCAAGGTGAGAATATTAATAAAGCTGAACGCTGGGTGATTCGGAGGATAAGGAGATCTGCTTATATATATATATATATATATATATATATATATATATATATATATATATATACATATATATATAGCTATACATATATATATATATATATATATATATATATATATATACATATATATATATATATATTTGCCTATACATATACAAATATACCTATATATATATATATATATATATATATATATATATATATATATATATATATATATATATATGCATAGGTATATTTATAAACAGTACAGGAATATTAAACGTCCTTCTCCAAAACACCGCCATCTCTTGACAGTGCTGGCTTCACGCCATGAGTTATGATGCCAAGCTCGACGCCATAAGTCACGATGTCAAGCTCAACGTCATGAGTCATGATGTCAGGCTGGACGTCATGCTCCTGCGTCACGTGCAGACAATTTGCGTCCGGTCCAGGTACGGCCAACAACAACGATATGACCCCAGTTCGCATGTCTCAGCACGACTTGTTTAGACATGTCCTTGTTCCACCCGCATGTCCGCCTGCCAGTCGCAGCGCGTGACCTGACAAAACACGCGTTCACAGCGTCTGCGGTCAGCCTTTGCCATGCTCGACACATCTGGTCCCAACCACTGCGTCCAGCATTGTGTCTTCCGACGATTTTCACGAGCACGCCCACGCTTCAGGCATCCGCTGAATGTTTCCGGGTCGATTCAGACATTCGCTGGGTGTTTCCGGGTCGATTCAGACATCCGCTGGGCGTTTCCGGGTCGATAATCACCGACTTTAAGTTTGGTCAGAGTTTTGCTGAGTCCACACATTGAAGCACCAGCCAGTCGCGCTGTCGCCGGCCCGGAGCGACAGCTGTCAGAGAGCAACGACCGCACATCGGCGGCGCACCGCTCGAGCATCGCACGTGCCAATGGAAAACTCCGAAACAATGGCGCATACAACAGCGGCAAAACCTGCGTTGGCGCATAACCGCCCATGTAAGGCCGGGTTCAACCTTCCCCAAAAACAACGACGCCTCGCAAACGCGCAGAAACCTCGCAAAACCTACCGGGAACCCACACAAACATTTTCGCAAGACCGCAGCGGCGACAACGGTGCGGCGTCGCCGCTAGTTGCGCTTCTTGGATTGGTAACCGCTGCCTAGCTGGTCGGGCGGGCTGGAGTTGCAGCCGTGCTTGGTGCAGCAGCGCGTGCAGGTGGTGTGGGTGATGCCGAACCCGCGCGGGCGGCACCCGGCGTAGCAGATGGCCGTGCACTGGCGGTGCACGGTCCACAGTACCCCGTTGCCCGTCAGAAAGTCCTCCTGAAACACGCAGACATACACACTCGGAGTCGACAGCGCGCCTTTAGCCGTCAGGAAGTTCTCCTGAAACACGCAGACAAATGCACATCTGGCATCACGCCGTCAGCCGTCAGAAAGTCCTGAAACACGCAAACGTACGCACAGTTGGCAACACACCGTTAGCCGTCAGAAAGCTAGTTCCCTGGAGCACACACCCAAGAGTCCTGCCATGATCTTCCGCGTTCACTTTGGTGCTCGCACTCTACACAAAGCACTCAACCACACATACGATTTAGCTGGAATGGTGAGACATGTTCGAGAAATAAAGAACATGTCCACATCGGCCACGTTCTAAGCATCAACAGGTGAAATTGCCACGCCAACAAAGCGACCTTCATAGTCAGTACCCGCAGCTGGAAGTTGTAATCACAGCAGCGCAGCAACACCCACTTGCTTGACCCCAACCAAGGGGTTGTCACGCGCTCCAGTGGCTCCGCTACTCCAGCCTGGCCACGGTCGTCGCTCCCCGTGACCTCTTACCTTGCAGAAGATCTCGTTCTGCCCGCAGCGCACCAGGTTGGTTTTGTTCAGCGGCTCGTACAGCCCTAAGCAGGGATCGCGTCCGTTGAAGCGCTTCCAGCGGAAGTCCAGCGAGCAGCTGAAGCAGATGAGGTTGCCGTAGCTGGCATCCCAGATCTTATACTCTGCGGCACACGTGGGCAGGACGCCGGTCAGATGCCGCACAAATCTGGTAAGGTGCCGGACAGAGAACAAGTCAGGTCGGGTCAGGAGAATCGCCCCGGGTCGATGCTCTATCAGACCCGGAGATTTCGAGAGGACATCTCCCACAAGAAGTCGAGGTTACTAATGTTTATCCAAAATGCCTTATGCGCGGCCGGCAGGCGAAAGCGATTACTTCCGCTGGACAAGCGGTTTTCTCATTTCGTCGGTCGGTCGGTCCGGTCAGCTAGAAAGTTAAGCATGTGAGAGCCCAATTGGGTGGGTCATGGTGTAGTGCATGATGAAGGTCATGATGTAGTGCATGATGTAGGTTATGATGGAGTCCTAGTGCACCTTCGCCTGCTCAACTACATCATTAGACGCCAGTGCAAGATGTTTTTGATTGGCCAACCTAGGACATCGGACTGGAAATTGTGTACTTGGTGTGAGAAAGAAAGGGTTCAGCATTTGACTGTGAGCATCCTGAGACCGTTTTTGTTGTTTTCGAGCATTTGCCATGGGCATGAGCACCGATTCGTCACGTCAAACTTTCTCATATTAGCAACATCGATTTCGTTCGATAACGTTGCTTAAACCGGTACTTTCTGGCATGTCGAAGGAAGGTAATTTTCAACAACAAAAATAAAATAGCTCAAGTTTGTTATGGCACTATGGAAGATCCAGCAGTCACAAAAAAGTTTGTGGCATGGTCTTGAGGGAATGTTGAATCATGGAAGCAGGGTTAATGCCTAATGAGACAGTAATTGACTTTGAGCGAGTGTTTAATGATGGGAACTAGGTTAATGCCTAATGAGACACTAATTGACTTTTTAAGCCCGGAATTACTTGCAGAGTTTTGTTGTTATGTCCTTAAAGGGGGCGTTCCACGTTTGCCAATATTGAAGCGAGCTCCAGTTATGATAAAATAAGCTCATTTATAACCATACTACATCATACTTTTAGCTGGAACAAACTGTTCTAGACATTACACTTGCTCTGCCTAGTAAATATGCCCCTGATGCGTCTTTTGTTGTTTGCGTCATCGCACATTGCACAACATTGTTTGAGAGTCCATTAGCGGCCCTTAAATATGCAAATCGTACTCGCGAACGCCAGATATGCTATGTAGATATCCACAACTATATCTGATCTGTGTCGATCGGCGCATGGCCAATGGATTGGCAGGATTTAAATTAAGTTATTATGGCGTCACGGATGACCGTGCGACCTTGAAATAGCTTGCACAAAATGGTGTGCACACCTTAACGGGCGCATGGTCCAGAAACAAGAGGGGGCTTAGGTCTTTAGAAGGGCAGGGCTGTGAACTGCACCAAATGGGGTTCAAGCTGACCATTTCAGTTCCAAACCCCATCCAAATGTGGGGCACTCCGTTTAGAACACCAAAGATGCTTAACAAGGACCCAGTAGACAGAGTAATCACGTGTCAACTACACTGTATTCCGATAATGCGACTAAACAGGTGCAAAGTGAGTTAACCAATGCTATCAACGCAGGGAGTATGCCACCCTACGTGTATGCTAAACCCAGGGAGTAGGTTATCTCACCTACATACAACCAGTATGCCGTGTACAACCAATATGGTTCTTTTCAGCTTTGATCGTTAACGAAATGCCAACTGTTGTCTTCCTGAAGCACTGAATGGTGACTATCGCGTCCCCGTGCACGTCATTTCCCGGCACATGCCATGTCTCGTGAATATCGTTTCACAGTGAATGGTATGTCCCAGCGGATGTCATGTCCTAGTGATTGTACTTGCTGGGGTCGGCACCAACTTTCAAAAGGTCAAACGCGTGGCAACGTGTTAGCCGATAATTTTGCTAATATCGGTTTTTAGATTTCGCTAACTGGGCCGATTAGCAAAGGCTATACACATGTACTGAGAATGTATGTTTACTGGCTCCACAGCGAAATCAAATGGCATGACCACGTGACACGTTTGGTCATCTTTGATACGAGAAGCCTGTTTCAGATGGCATGTTCCGTTCATTTTTGTTTTCAATCGCGGGTTATGGTTGTAGAGCTAACTGTAGTTAATATTTTAAGCTATACGCCTGCTGTACCATCTCCGTTACATCCATCTTTGTTTAGCATAGGACCTGCAGGGATGTCGGCATGTCTGCCAGCTGAGTATGGTTATAGCGTTTTCACCTAACTGCTCAAATAATTCAGTGAATTTTTAGCCTAACTGACGAAAAACGTACGCCCAAAAACCGGCGTACCTGGTAAGCCAGACCCCCTTTCTACAAACTTTTGTTTTGGAAAGCGATGTCGTGCATCTTTAGGAAGAAACAAAAGCTTTTTTGACACGACACAGTTTCTGGCAGGTAAATCCAAGCGTCTACCACGAATTCGGCACGCTTCACTCCATGCATTGAGCTACACAGAGCTACAGAAAGCTACAGCTGAGATACAGCTGAGCTACAAAGATCTTCAGTTGTGCTATATGAAGCTACAGCGTTGAGCTACAGAGAGCATCAGGGAACTACAGCTAAGCTGCAGTTGAGCTACAGATGAGCTACAGAGAGCTGCAGCTGAGCTACAGAGAAGGTGTCAAGCGAGGAATGGGGTGGGGAGGGGGCTCTGGTGCCGCCCAGCCAGGCTCCCGTAAGACATCGGCGACGGCGAACGGATGGCCGGCAGGGGCAGCAGCTGCACCTCCCGGACAGGACAGCTGATACGACATTCCGTGTTGTCAGTCCGGTTATAGCTGTGGTCCGCATGGCCTTGCGCCCAGCTGAGGCCCTCCGGTCCGGTTATAGCTGTGGTCCGCATGGCCCTGCGCCCAGCTGAGGCCCGCCGGTCCGGTTATAGCTGTGGTCCGCATGGCCCTGCGCCCAGCTGAGGCCCTCCGGTCCGGTTATAGCTATGGTCCGCATGATCCTGCGCCCAGCTGAGCCCCTGGCGGACCAAGCAAACTCACCACGGTCCTGAGCGATCGTCAGCGTCGCCAGCTGGCACAGGATGGCCAAGAGGGCGCGCATGCTGATCCACCTGGGGCAGCCGATGCTGGAGATGCTGTGGAACAACAATAGTGCATATTGAACGGACGCGACTTTGCTCCAGACGGCAACCATTACGACGCAGTGTGATTTGCTCTTTGCCTTTGGTATCCGTTTTAGCTTTGCAACTGTTAGGTTATATAATTAATTTTACAGTCGATGTCTGTGCCAAATAGCCACCATCGAGCGTCACATCTTCCATCATACAGAGTTAACAGGACGTGTATGCCTGTGTCCGCCCCTGCAGCCGCCTCCTCGCCGCGCCTGGACTCGCCACTGGCTCCGGCGCGGTCGCGTGTCTGCGCGCCCGAGGCGGGTCACGTGTCCAGGATGGTCGCTCGATGCCCTGAGGCGGTGGTGCACGCGACGCCCCGGCGGGCCACAGGCGGCCGGCCAGAGACGGTTGCCTGCGCACGATGCTGGCCTTGGTACTGACTGTGGTATCAGAGGAGCCAGGCGGTGACTTTCAGAGGCCAAATGATGGCGCGCTGAGGTTTTGCGGATGATTGTAGGCCTATCACTTAGCAACAAATCCGGCGTAAAGGGATCGATTGGTGCAAAGAGATTGTGAGTAAAAGGATTCATGACATAAAAAACGGTTCCATTCGCAGTTGGACTAGCGACGCGATGAAAGACGCATCGCCTAAGTGCGAATAGTTAAGCTGTTCCCTATTCCTAAGATTAAAAGGTGACATATTTAAGGTATAGTTTTGAGTGCGCTCTTGGGCGTAATTAGCTACCCTTTGGAGTGAACGGTTGCCGGTGCGTGCCATGGCAATGCCAGCAACAGTCATAATCGTATGGTTTAAAATCGATATTTAGCCGTTGGATATGTCGTGGAGATGCGAATGGTGACCAGATGGGCGCCCAATGCGTCCGTTATGAACGCTGTGAGCAAAGCAAACCCTGAGTTTCAAAAGTTGGATGGCAATCTAGTTTTGTTGTTCTTCGTAACATCGTTCGGCGAGCATGCTGATATTTAGGCTCCCACGGACGTCATAAACTTAGATCCAACTGTTTCATTTATAGCTTTGAACTGTTGTCACCTTTTCAAATCGGGTTATTCTCCTTTGGAGCTGAGCGACCACGAACAAGAAGATTACACCGATTCAAGAAAGCCGGTATGATTTAACACGCGCCCTAGTGGCCGGTTGAGTACCGTTCTTTCGTAGGGGGGTCATTTTGACCTCCCGAGATCTCAAAATTAAGACGGCTAGAAATGCCAAATTTACAGGGTGTATATTTTGTATTTGCTGTATGCGAACTCATTAGTGTCAAACTTTGAGGCTCCTAGATCATGGCCTTCTAGTTAAATAAGGTCAAGCAACGACAAACTCCAAAGTGGCACCTAAAGTGTCCCAAACCGCATGCGACCGCTGTGAGCCTGGATACTCGTGCTAAGTAAAGTGCCACTGGTTCTCATTTAAAGCCAATGACTGTTTGGCTTCAAGATGTTCATGGTGAGCAAAATGATACAAGATTGCACTGATTTTTGCATTTGAATAAACATCAGGGCTTATGCTAGGCGATATGTTCCTATCACACCAAATACTGACCTGGGTTATTTTAGGTCAGTGACTTTTCCTGACCTTCCAGAAGTCCATGGAAGATGAATGAAGCTTTCCTCGTTATTGCCATATCAAAAATGAGCACAATAAACGACCCTAAAAAGCAAACTTTTCGCAGGTTTGTTTTGACCTTTGTCTGACGTTCTTACCGGGACCTAGGTCATAGCTTATTCAACTGTTGTGTTGCCTTAACACTCCGTGGTTGCACCTGATTGAATGATTCCCTGGAGATTGCCTTCGCTGAATCCATGGCCTGACTTTGACCTGCCATAAATCAGCAACCTTACAAGGTACATCTACATTTTTGACACCAGGCAATGCTCTATAACGATGGAAAATTTGACATGGCTAAGCGGCCGTTCGAAAATGAATTTGAAAAAGCTTCGGAATGTAAAACCGCCCCCACCCGAGTGCGTGTTAAAACGCGTCCTCCTGGTGACCGATTCAATACGTCACGCTCGAGCGGTGGGGGAGACCGATTGGCGCCCCCCGCACCCTGAGATTCAAGGCAGTCATGAAAGTCAGGAGCACCACATTCACAAGATAGGTAGGGATCTCTGTGATTTACCTGTGTCATACTTTAAGGCGCTTAGGTTGCATTCAGGTCAAATAAGGCAAAACAAGGTCATATTCCAGATTGGTATTTAAAGTGCATTCAGACCTCTCATGCTGCCAGCTTTCCCATAATTCTCCTTTTAAAAGGGTCGCTAGCATTCGCATCACATCAGTGACCACAGACGACCTTTACAAGGTAAAAGGCGCCCAAATCCTTCGAAACAATTTGGATGTTTGAATTAGCAGCCGGTGCCAAGTGCTACCATTTGTGGCATGCACTCCAAAGCAATAGGTTGATCAAGGTCATTTTAGATCAGTGACCCCATCTGACCCGCATGCAAACAAAATACGAAAGCTTTGTTGCGTTGTCATCTATGAATTTGATATGAGCAACAAAACGTACGGCATGCAGTAAGTTTTTCAATAAAAAAATCGGCTTGGTCTTGAACTTAATCTGACATTCATACTTAACCAATCGTCCAATACCTGACTAGAAACCAGAGTCTAATTCTGACCGAGAACTAGCTGTGAAACCTAATTTCAGCAGTACGATTGTTTAAGAAAAACAATTCGCTTAACTGCCTTCCCTGACAGACATGGTCTGTGTAAAGCCTGCTGGTCAGCTAAGAAACCTTACAAGGATGTCTACTTGTTATGATGGAAAGATTGGCTATTGTATTACCCACAGCCCTACAGAGCTTAGCAAGGCTACGCCACGCCATTCATACGTTAGTTCAGAAAAAAACAGCTGTTGGAGCTCTCTCTAGACGTCATTCCAAAGATCGCTACACCAGTGTGCCACCTAGGAGGTGCTGTAAGACCTAATAGCTTCTCATGTGAAAAGACCACTTTCGAGCACGCATTGGGTTTTTAACGCAGAAACAAAAGCTGAGTGCCCGTAGCCGCATACCTCTGCCCGCTGTACATACCCGCTCATAGACACACCTGCGTCGTCCAAATGTATACAACAGCTACTTGTTTCAAACGACACGGGCAGGATTTCAGACGCTGCTACCACTTCCATCCTTCGCCGTATGCGTACTGTGATGGGCTATCTTGCCTGCAGTTCTAATGTCAAAACCTGGTAATGGGATTCCCTGACCAGCACGGACCAGCAGAAGCAACTGTTTGGGAGAAGCCATCAGCCATCAAGACCGTCTCGCTCCCAAACAGCTCACTCACCGCGACCGGATAACCTCGAGGACTCATTCAACTCCTTGCAGGCACGGCATTGGTTTGCCTGAGAAGGATGGCTTAAAGGTATGCTAATGCTATGTGTGAACGGCAATGCGAACGGGAGTGCATCCGCCTGATTTGCATCATAGTCCCATTGTGAATATAATTACAAGGAAAGTGTGTCGGGGATCACAGCTGTGGAAGGCACCATTTAAATATTCATTCGAACCATGGAGGAACATGCTTGCCGTACGTCACGAGGCTCCAAGCAAGGAAGCGTGATCGAGCAGTGTCGGCTGTGTCCTGAAGGATTCATGGATGAAATCCCAGGCGCCGAAACGTGTTTAATACTTCAACATGTATTTCCTTTTTAGCAGGATTTTAAGCCAGATTATTGGCTTTTTTCTTCACAAAACTCTACCCTTTCAGCACCGACATTAAACGGAGTGTTCCTTATATGCATGGAGTTTGAAAAGCCCTGACCTTTTTAAGACCTAAGCCATCTAGTTTCTGAGATACACGCCCGCGAATATGCGCGGATTATTTTGGGAAAACTATTTGAAGGACACCCTGGCATGCATGACGCCATAATGACGTCATTCGAATCCTGCCATTTCATTAGCCATGCGGCGATCAAGGCCAATAAGTTTGCAGCTGTCAGGTCTGTTACATCTGGCATTCGTGAGCAGGATTTCCAGATAAAACGGTCGTCAAGTGGCTCTCAATCAAATATGTGCAAGATGCCGTGACATAATTAAGCAATGAGGTATTGACCAGCGTTTGTATGAAACAGATAAATTGTGTTGCCTAGAGCAGCCTTTTCCATTCAAAAGCGTGCCGATAGGTGGAAGTGAACTTAGTTCATGTTTGATGCACGCTTTAAAATCTTCGAATGTGAAAGATTTCCTTTAAACAAAACGTGATAACGTTGCAATCACTGGTAAGACGTCTGCTGGCCCGAGCGGGAACAAAACAACGTTTTCTGCGGGTGACAGAATGCAAATTGTATTTAACAGTTTAATTATTTTTTAACTCTGCAAATCTGTGCCTCCTTCAGCCGTGGAACTGAAAATGGCAAGGATTTGTCTGTTTTAAATGCATCATAAAAATAATGGAGGTTTATAAAACAAGAGCGCTGTCTAGAGCGGGGTGACCCAGAATAGTCGTGACACCTATAGTGCTCTGGTTTGGTGCACAGAGCTATTGGCCCTGAGCGACCGCTGCACGAGTGGTCTGTGGGTTTAAGGAGGGCGGTAAGAGGTGGGGAACGCTGGCCTACCATGAACTGCATCCATCGTAGGGTACCTCCCGCTCCAGGGGGTGTGAACGTGCTGCGATGGGACTTATGATCGGGGCGGCCTCGAGCCCTCCTCTCGGCCGACAGGCGCGGCACGCCGCCAACGGGGCACACGGAGGAAAGGAGAGAGACGTCTACTGTGGAAAAATATTGTATGTCTGTGCGTGTGCGTGTGTTTGGTCCTGTGATTTTCTATGTCAAAGCCGGCACCTGCGGAGGGTTTGCCGTCGTTCTCAGCTTTTCAAAATAGCAAACATGACGGCAACTTTTTAACCCGGGGCATGTTTGCGGCGCGATCGGTTTTATCTCAGCCCATCAGGCTCTATCAGCGGCCAATTCCTGAACATCTGACCTCAAGTCACCGGCTACCTGACCTCACATGACCTCAGGTCACCATTTTCGTAATCTAATCTGGCCTCAGGTCACCTCATACCTGACCACATCTGACCTCGGGTCACTACCTACCTGACCTCACCTGACCTCAGGCTACCGCCTAGCTGACCTAACATGACCTCAGGTAATCGCATACCTGACCTCTTCTGACACCAAATCACCGTCTACCATTACTCACCGTGCAGAAGACCAGCACCGGAGGAGCGGAGACACCTGCTGACTCCCAGCCCCGCCGCCCCGTCCTATAGCCCCGGGCAACTGACCGGCTCGCGTGTCGTGGCCGGGCCATTCCTCGGATAATCAGCCCGACCCGTGACGCCCGCCGAGGGTCGTCACCGTAGAGGCCACGGCGCCGCGCGGGGCCGGCGGCGGTTCGCCCCTGCGGCACCGGTCGATCGGCGTACCTTGCACGGATTTGGACGCGTGTTTGTTGAAGCGGGCGCTGCCGTCGTCGGCGCGGGACGATCGTTGTGGGATAGCTGTATGCAGTGACCGGGCCAGCTCAGACACCGTTCTGCGCCTCTGACGAGGTGTCGAACGGTGTCGCTGTCGCTGTCGCTGGTGGTGCGTCTCTTCACGCTGTATACCATGAATACTGGCGCTCGTGGGTAGTCATAACGTAATTATCGATAATGTTCGCATCATAATGTTTCCTGCCTTGCCGAACTAGGGCCGAGGTAATCGGGGTTTTGGTAGTTGGCTACGCGCTCACGTATTCGGAGATGATCGACTGGACCTGATGGCTCGATTTTGTTTTTAAGCTAGTGCTTAGACCATTTCCACGTCAAGCGACGGTATCACACACCATGTATGGTATAGGTGGCCGTTAGAAAAGACGATTGCAATGTTGGACATAACGGAGCAGCGCGCACTGTTGTTGGACAGCTACATCACGTCCTCTCCCTCGCTCTCTCTCCCTGTCTCTAAAGTGGCAAAAGCCCGGGCGCAATGTTCGATTGCAGTTTATTCACACGGCGCGCATACAAATGTACAAATAGAAAGGTGAAGGCCCCAGAGAAGCTCACAGAGGGGATGATCATCGCGTTAAGCTACACAGCTAACCATACATGTTGATAAACAAAAGCTTAACAAAACCAAAAAGGCCTTAGAATCCTGTCAACAGCGTTACTTCGGATCATTCATCACCAGACAAAGGTTAAAGTATCACTTTCCCGCTTGACCTGGGTGTGTCGGAGCATCGCGGAGCGTTCAGTCTGTGACATCAGACTGTGGGTGCTACCCAGGTCAGTACTTGAGCACACGAGATTGACATGATAGCAACCATGCCCAGGACAGAGGCAAACTAAACAGCACAGTTGTTATGATTAAGTACTCGTATCAGAATGCTCACGGCACACGGTTGTTGTGACTAAGTACTTATATCAGAATGCTCATGGCACACAGTTGCTGTGACTAAGTACCCATATCAGCATGCTCACGGCACACAGTTGTTGTGACTAAGTACTTATATCAGAATGCTCACGGCACAGCAATCCGCGACCGGAATCAGTAGAGAGCAGAGCAGACGCCTGCTCGGCCATTAAGGTGTTGAGTTGCCCGACAGGTACTCATGCGACCCTCAAGTGAATGCGGCATTGTTCTCCTTGACGGCATGCGCGACGTCATTGAGTTGATAGTCTGGGGTCATCAAGCCAGCACCCACCACCAAACACGGCCAAAGACTATTTGTACTCTAACGCGTTTGGAGAATTTCCCAACCAGTATTGATGCAGGCTTTTTGCTGAATGATTAATTAATTGCACTGCTCGCCATAGCGTCTGTGAAGTGTTATGCCTGATGGGCTGTTGAGGATTAACAGTTCACTGCGCTGTACATTCTAACCTGCTGTCCACCAGCCACTGGCACCTAACGCCCCCAAGGCCTGATGTATGGTCATCCGTGCACTTGCATCGCCTGAAACCATAGGAAAGAGGGTCTCTCTCCTTTTCTCTCCCTATCTTTTTTTTCTCTCTCTCCCTCTCTCCTTACATCTATGAACTCCTAATAGCTTACCTGATAGCTCATTCCCCGCAGCTCGCCCCGCCACCAGCTCATTCCCCGCAGCTCGCCCCCTCGCATCCCCCACTCCACTTCTTCTCCACGACTCGTCATATTTTCCCGGACAGGTCGATCTTGACCTCGTCGCTAACCTCAACGCCCTCGAGGTCGTTGAGCTCATCCAGGGCGTGGAAATCGTCGGGGTGCTCCTGTGAGCTGTTCTCGTCGGTCCTCATCATGCGCAACATGAACAGCGAGTGGCGGAAGTGGTTGTTGGTCATCACGCGACCGACCCAGCCGACCGTATACTGCAGGGTCAAAGATCAGGGATCAGAGATCAGCGGCGAGAGATCAGAGACGCATGATCGGGTCCAAAATCAGCACGGAGCACGTATGATCGGGTCCAAGATCAGCACGGAGTACGTATAATCGGGTCCAAGATCAGCACGGAGTACGTATCATCGGATCCAAGATCAGCACGGAGTACGTATCATCGGATCCAAGATCAGCACGGATTGGGTATGATCGGATCCAAGATCAGCACTGAGTACGTATGAGTACCGGTATCCCGGAGGTCGAAGCCTCTGGATGCGCTCAGACCTGGAAGAGGGACGAAGTGCGGTTGAAGGTCATGCCCAGGTGAACAAAGCAGCCGCCGTCCTTGAGGTCCGTGACCTGCAGCTGGAGGCGGGGTCGAAGCCAGCTGTCGGCGTCTACTGTCAGCAGCCGGCCTCGCTCGTACTCTTTTACAGTCAGCAGTATCCGGTACGGGCCTGGCGGGTCACGGGGGGTCACAGGGGTCACAGGGGTCACGGATCGTGGGCCATAGGCGACTAGTCACTAGCTGCAAGCCATTCTTCATCGATGACCATCAGCGGCGCCGTGCTAACAGGTCAGAGGTCACAGGTCAAGGTCACCGGCCATCGCCAGTCACTCTCTGCGAGGGCCAGAGGACAAGGGCAGAAAAGGCTCAGGACAATCAGCATTGATGATTCGTGCTTCAAGCTAGAATGACAAGCGACAAAATCAATCAAAATATCAGGCTCACGAAGAACGCCATCAGATGTAGAGGACTGGGACCATGATACTGCGCATGGTGTTCCGAGATCAGTGCATCACTTATCTGGTAAAGCCACGGGGGCGGTGACAAATGAGGAGGCAAGGAGAGAGAGAGAGAAAGAGAGAGGGAGAGAGAGAGAGAGAGAGAGAGAGAGAGAGAGAGGAGAGAGAGAGAGAGAGAGAGAGAGAGAGGGAGAGAGAGGGAGGGAGAAAGAGCAGGATGAACCTGGTTCAGTATTATAGTAATCATGTTGCTTGGCTCCATTGACATGCCCACAGAACAATTAGATGTGCGCCAGTAGAGTAAAGAGATGCAATTGTGCCAAACAAGAACGCTTGGAATGCACCGCTATTCCTTGTGCACGTCGTGGATATTGGAGGGCTCACGTCTTCGGACGTTCATGCATCATGAGCAATTCTCTTGTTCAAGGTTTCAGCTGCACGCTCGCCACAAATTCGGGCGGAGGCTTACCCAAAGGACCGACGGTGTATTGTCCAATATACCTCTTGCCCTTGGTCAGTAGCCTTCGATCGATCTGTTTCACGTTCTTGATCCATGAAAACCACTGCGTATGGAAAGGACAGTGGGCATTACTACTTCATCATGACGGCGAAGTAGACCAAGTGTACGGAGGTGTGTCTGAGACAGCACTTCACGGCAATTCGGAGGTAATTAAAGACAAGAAGAGAACATGCAATTATTACGAAATTGCTACTTCAAGCCATCGGTAGTCTGTGTTAAACCATGCGTGGAATGCGTGACATAGTTTTGCTGGTGAGAACAATCAGGGGATGAATTCTTTCCGCTATGGGCGGGCAGATGATGATACTTGGGCTGCTCACCAAAGCTTTGGATGAGGCCGTCACAGAGTTGGATGGAAACGGCTGATGCCCCTGCTGGGTTTTCCAGCGAATCGCGGGAGGAACGTGCTCCGTTGGCGCAGACGCGGCACCGTCGGTGCGTGCGTCACTCACCGTAGCCATCATGTCGTGCATCACTCACCGTAGCCATCATGTCGTGCGTCACTCACCGTAGCCATCATGTCATGCGTCACTCACCGTAGCCATCATGTCGTGCGTCACTCACCGCAGCCATCATGTCGTGCATCACTCACCGTAGCCATCATGCCGTGCGTCACTCACCGTAGCCATCATGTCGTGCGTCACTCACCGCAGCCATCATGTCGTGCGTCACTCACCGTGGCCATCATGTCGTGCGTCACTCACCGTAGCCATCATGTCGTGCGTCACTCACCGTAGCCATCATGTCGTGCGTCACTCACCGTAGCCATCATGTCGTGCGTCACTCACCGTAGCCATCATGTCTTGCGTCACTCACCGTGGCCATCATGTCGTGCGTCACTCACCGTAGCCATCATGTCGTGCGTCACTCACCGCAGCCATCATGTCGTGCGCACTCACCGTGGCCAGCATGTCGTGCGTCACTCACCGTAGCCATCATGCCGTGCGTCACTCACCGTAGCCGTCATGCCGTGCGTCACTCACCGTAGCCATCATGCCGTGCGTCACTCACCGTAGCCATCATGCCGTGTGTCACTCACCGTAGCCATCATGCCGTGCGTCACTCACCGTAGCCATCATGCTGTGCGTCACTCATCGCAGCCATCATGTCGTGAGTCACTCAGCGTAGACATCATGTCATGCATCACTCACCGTAGCGATCATGTCGGGTGTGCTGATGGTCTCCATCATCTTCCTCGGGCTGACTCGGAACTTGGCCTCGTCTGAGGCTGCGAAATCCCGCGGGTCAACTTCCGACTGCCACATCATGGCCACCAGACAGGCGAGCAGAGACAGAACGTAGGCCAGCACCACCTGCAACATAACACCTCTGACTGTCATCTCATGACCACCAGGCAGGTGACCAGAGACAGAGCGTAGGCCAGCACCACCTGCAACAGAACCCCTCTGACTGTCATCTCATGACCACCAGGCAGGTGACCAGAGACAGAGCGTAGGCCGG